GGATCACCGTAAATTGGATGTGACTTGATTGCATGTAACAAGAAAAGTTGAGCCTTTGTTACATTTAGAGTGATATTGCTTTCCTTGAGTTTTCTTTATGCTAATAAACAAGAAAAGGAATTGTAAACTGCTTTCTTAGGGATATAAGCCAGTGCTACTGGAGCTGTATGATACCCTGAATCAGGCTAGCTTCCTTGCTGTATAGGGCAAGGAAATCCTATATGACATAAGACTTATGCTGAAGACAGAGCTGCACTTGTGTGTGAGCGAAAGAGAGGGAGAAAGAAAGAGAGAGAGAGAGAGAGAGTTAACATCACTGCAGCTTTTTAAAAGGAATGGTTACCTAAAACCTGATAGATAATTTCAGTGTGAATGTTTTGCACAAACTGAACAAGCATCAGAGTGACCAAGAATAACTTGCCTCAAAAAACTTGAAAGGCCAACATTTTCAGTTTGACCTCAGAAATCCTTATAAGCAACTGCAGTAATTGGTTGAAAGTACCTCCGGGCTGGAAACAGAAGTACAAGGAACTGGTGGCGGGGCTTAGGGTTTATCTTTTTCAGAGGTGAGTAGAGAACAGAACTGAGTCAAGCTGCTTTAATAAACGATGAGCCAATGGATGAATGACATTTGAAGGATAAAATACATTGGTATTTGTTCCTGGATGGAATCACAAAGAGTTCAAATCTTTCTTTTATTTGACCAGTGATACTATCACGATAGAATGGCCTTTCCTATTCTTTTTAAATATATTTTGTCATAATGAGGAAATATATGTATATGCATTATAAACAAGAATGACATTTATACAAAACACAGTGTCAGCGTTATCTAGTACAATAATGATGCAGACATGCACACATAAACAGAAACACATTTTAAATATTAATCTAATTCTAACAAGGAAAATCATTTACTTCTCTTAATGTCCAAGTTATACCAGCCCTCATGGAATCAGTAAAACCACAACAGACATCAGAAAACAAGCAGGTAAATAAATATTCATGCTATTCATGTGCATTAACACACATCTTTCCCATATAGTAGTGAGTGATTCAGTATATGGGCCTTAGATGCAGAGAAGAGATGAGTGTAGAAGAATCATTTTGAAGAACCACAACTTTCCAAGTCTCCCATCTAATCATGGTGGTTCAGGGATTCTCGGAGTTGAACCCCACCCCCAGTAACTTTTTTGACCTTTTGATAAGGAGAGAAGGAGGCCATGAGAAGAGGTTGTTTTATTCATATAAGGGGGAAGCAAAGCAAATACCTAGGAGGCTAAAATAAAAAAATAAAAATCCAGTGAACAAAGACCAGCAGAACACAGTGAGAGTGTGTGGGAAAGGATACCCTGATTAGAGGGGATGGGTGCCCAAATGCTAAACAAGAAGAGTCTTTTTTAGGAGGCAGGTTACATTGTCGTGTTGTGTGAGGGTCCAATGTATTAGACCTATTGTTCAAGTGATGGACATAGACAGTTATGGTCAATGGCATTTAATCCTGAATATCCTTCCAAAAGAAATGCTGTGGTTTTAACATCACATTAGTGATCACCACATAAAAGACAAAATCGTGTTTATTGGACTTTATTGTGGTATAAATGCCATCTACTTGTGAAATGTCAGTTTTCAGACTCCTTTCTGCTTTTCACAGAAATGGCACAAAATGTTTTTTTTCCTGTACCTTTTTGGCCCCATGCTTTGTTCAGGAACATGTAAATCTGTTGACTGACCATCATACTTCATGCATCTATTGAACTGGGCTGTAGTCTGCAAATGTTACATTACAATACTGTAAACCTGTTGACCTTTAAAATGAAGCAAAGACAATGTTGCCTTTGCTTGATCTGTACCTAAGAGGCCGATCATTATAGCAACACAATCCAGCCCTCATCAAAGATTGGCTAATACATTTCCCCCTTGAATTGCACAGGTCTGAGCAGCATAATTTTAATTATGCACAGATTTTTAAAAAATAAATACATAATAAGTACAGTATTTTGCTGCTATTCATCTCCAAGTTGAGAAAGATGGTTTCAGATTTGCCAAGTTGTTGGCAGTGGGGCAGATCCCTGGTCTGATGGTATCATCCCGGCCAGTCCCCCCTTGGCATGGCAGGGTGCTGGGGCATGCCAGGAGGCTGACACAGGTCAGGGGAGGTCACAGTGACATGCTGCTCCATTGCAGGGGGGGAGGGGGAGGGAGGAGATATCGCACTTCTGTTTCCCCACCATCTGATACAGGCTTTTTCTATCCTTTAGCTGCCTGTGTGTTAATCGTTTATGCTTTATAGCTTCATTTTGGGGGGCATAAGATTTGTACAGAGATTTTGAACTACAATACCCCAGCACTGTTGAAGGGAGAAATGTATTTTAACAGAATGTGGGTTGCTGTTGTTTTTCATCTGAAAACATGGGTTGGATCCAAAGTCTGTCTTCCTGAGTATCAAAGGTAGGCATGGTTCAGCTCCAAGGACTCATACCACCTCAGGCCCAATGTCAAGAGCTCCCTGGTGTTGTGTCTCCTCCTCACCACCACAGACTCCTTTTTCAACTGCCTCTCATTCTAGTTCAGGCCACGGTGGTGGTCAGAAGAGTCAATACATGCCGTTTCCTGCTCTCTTCCACGCTCTCAGCCTATCAAAGAAACAGCTGTGAGGAGGAGCAGAAGTAGCAGAAGCTATAGCAATGGCAATCGTGGCTAGTGGGTCCCATTGCAGGTACATTGCGCAAGGGCTCTTATAAGTCTAGACCCAGCATTGAGTGCTCCCATAAACAGATCCCTCTCCAATGAAATCTAGTGGAAAAGGTAGTTTTCTCCCATTCTCTTCTCTCTGCCAGCCTCTGGGCCATGTGGCACAGTTGTCTTCAGCCCCCCCCCCCCCAATCCTATGAAGCAGATTTTCATGGGGAAGAAGGAATCAGTGAAACTTGCCTCTTTCTCCAACAGAAGTATCTTGTGAGTGGTGTCCCTTTTCACAGGAACTGGATTCAACCCTATATCTATTGCACCACACTTCTCCACTGCTGTTCATGCAGCACCATCCTGTGCATATTTATTTGGAAGTCTTTCCCACTGTCTCCTGTAGGGATTTTTTCCAAGGCGAATGAACATAGGGTTACAGCTTAAGCTAAAATGCTGCACACATTTAAGTGGGAATAACCACACCGATTGATTCCCAGTGTAGTGTAGTGAACAGAGTGATAGACTGGGACTCTGGAGAATAGAGTTTAAATCCCCACTCGTCCATGGAGACTCACTGGGGGAGTGGAACTGGTAAAATCACTCCTTAAATATCTTACTTGCCTTAAAAACCCTATTAGGGTCACTCTAAGTCAGTTCCAACTGGATGACACCGAACGCGCACGCACGCACACACATGCACGTGCGCACGCACACACACACACACACACACACACACATAAACATGCAACCTCACTGAGCTGAGTGGGACTTGACTGTGAATAAAACACTCATAGGATTCCACTATAAAAGCTTGTGTTAGTCAGAATTTGAAACATTTTAACCCCTCCCTTTTTAAATTTGCATTTCCTAAACATGGCTGAGCATTTGTTTCAAGTATAGGCTAGCCCAGTGGTTCTTAACTGGGCGATAATGCCCCCCAGGGGGCGATTTCATTTTTCAGGGGGGGCGGTAGAACGAAAAGGGGCGGTGTGGAGGCGCTGGAGCGGTAGGGGGGCGGTAGGGGGGCGCTGGAGCAAGCCAAACCTGTGAAGATGGCTGCAGCCTTTTTACAGTGTGCATGAATATATATATTTTCCTCCAATCTTAATTTAGTTTCAGAGTTTTCGTCTTGAAATTTTTAGTTCCTGCATTTTATGCCCTTTTTATATTTCTTTTTGAGTCTTAAAATTCGCTAGCAACTAAATCATTAAATGTTAATTTTGGGGGGCATTTCATTTTCTTGGAATTGAATTTTGTTTTCAGGGGTCATTGGATTTAAGTGTCTTAAACAAACAAACAAACAAACAAACAAATAAGATATAATAAGAAATAAGAGGGGGGCGATGATAACTTCCTCAATGGCTCAAGGGGGCATTTCTTTCAAAAAGGTTAAGAACCACTGGGCTAGCCAGTGTATGTTTCCCTTTCTGACCTTAATGTGCTGTGAGATAGGAATGGTCTATGCATTTGGTTCAGAGCATGCCTCAGTTTGTACCCCTCCACCATGTCTCCTCTTATCCTTCTTTTTCTTAAATGAAGCAGCCCTACCTGTTGTAACTTTTCTCTATGGGGTTATCCCAGTCCCTTGACCATTCAAGCAAACAACTGGGAATACCATCTTCAAGGTAGTCCTCTTTTCCCACTTTCTCGGAAATGTCAAAAAGCTGCTTCCTGGATTATAAATATAATATGTAGTTTGAGGTTGATATTTTTTTAATGTTTTCCATCAGATCTCAACCCCTTCATCTCACTGTATGTTATGCCTGTTTTCTTTCCTCAAGTGCCTAGACTAGCTGCGGCTTTATCTCTCGACATACATTTGAAACAAAGCTTTCTTTCTGTAGCTCTTTAAAACTGTGGGAGGGTTTTGTTTCTGCCTAAAAACAGGGCACAAAAGGTTCTTCTGAAACAGAACAATAGGATAGGATAGTGTTCTTCTGATTGACTGGTAAAACTACTCACAAAATACACAGAAGGAAACAGTTCACTGAAAGATGTCAGTTCACCAGAAACTATGGGTGCTGCTTTTGTCCTATTCATGAATGTTGAAGATTCTCTTTTCTGCCTAGTCAGTATTGATAGTGCAGATGAAAAAAAGTAAAGTAAATTGTTGGGATGAAGTTTCAGCATTGGTGTGTTGAAACCTCTGACATTTACTGAGGAACAACTGGCTCAATACTTAGATCAGCCAGCTGACATTTTGATTTTCAAAAGAAATAATGCTACCTTGTGTTAAATAACAGGATTGCTTCATGTTCTGACATCACTGGATTGTAGAAGCTGAGGATCTTCTTTTTAATCTCTTTGTTTTATAGTTGATGTTGCTATGAGGAAAGAGGTCAGAGATGACTGATGTGGAGCCCGTAATCACAGATTTTGCAGCATCGGGAAGGGCAGGCCGCCGAAATGCCTTACCGGACATTCTGGGTTCTTCTGCTGGAGCTGGAACGTCGGATCTACCACACAAGTTAGCTGAGCTCTCCATGTCAGAAGGTTAATAACCACCAATGATTAAGAACTAGAAGTTATCCTTGGTTGACATCTAAAAACTTTCCCTGTTGGGCCATACTGGGAAATTTTATTACACACACACGTCTTAATTATCCATATATATGATGGATATATATGATGATCTTTTGCTAATTTTATATATTTTCTATATTTTATATCTATTTATATATTATTTATATTTTATATATTTCCCCCCTCCTTGCAAGGTCCCAACTAGCCTGTGGTTGGGACCCAGTTGTTGGGACTGCAGGACAGAAGGGTAAAGTCCAATTACAAAAAACGGAATGATTTTACCAGCAATGACAATTTTGAGAAATTAAAGACTTCCCTTGTTGCATAGCCCCCAACACTTTCTCACAAGGGAATACTAAGGGAACTTGAAGATTTTGGGAAGGAGGGGGTCAGACATTTTTAATTTTTAAAATTTAAAAAATACATCAGCTATACTGTAGGTTATGCTGCTGAATTTCAGTCTGTGTAACTTCTGCACAGGCTTAAACCAAACAGCACGTTAGCACTTGTCTCCTACATTTTCTTCTCCTCCTCAATGCAGCCCTCTTTGCTGCCCAGAAATCTGTTCCAAGGAGCTTCCTGCAGCATGTTTTGAGACTGCACGGTAGAAAAGAATGTTTGCACCCAGAGGTGGCTGCCCCTTAGGGCAAATGGGGCACTATCCTGCCATAGGCTCATGCCTCCCCAGCTAGCCCACTCCTGCTGGCCCCAATACTAAAGGGCAAGGGCACCCTCCAAATGTTCTCTTCCTGTTGAACTGTATATTATTGGAATTATTTGGGGGCGGGGGGGGGAGAGAGAAATGAAAGAATGAATGCAAATGAATATGTCAGTTGACCAGCAATAGGATGAAAACAATAGGATGTGGAAGTGCTTATAACTAGTGGGTAATTTTACTCTACTGTGTTGCGGTGTGAATGAATAGGATTGGGGAGGCTGGGACAGTGTCTGAATAAGCAAATGCCTTCCTAGCCATCTCTCCCTCTCCCTTGTCTATGTATGTATATGTGTGAGAGACAGAATACTTCCTTGCCTGTGTTATGAATGCTCACTTTCATCCCTGCCTCTACTTGTTGCTCCTGCCACTATGAGCTGTTCTGCCTTCTAACTCACCAAACATGGGGTTGGGGTTGCATTATTAGCCAGACCTGATTACTCCCCTCTCCTCCTTCAGCTGCTGGAAGCAATTCTGTCAATGAAACCACTTCATTGGAGCCTGTTTGAAATTCCTTCCTTCCTTCCTTCCTTCCTTCCTTCCTTCCTTCCTTCCTTCCTTCCTTCCTTCCTTCCTTCCTTCCTTCCTTATGTAGTATAATTAATGCACACCCTTCCTTCCCAAGAGGCTACTATAAAACCTCTCAAATTCTGTGAAGCCTGTGCAGCCCCAAATTAATATAACAAAAGATAATTCAAAATGTTTATCAAACACCTAAAAATATGTATTTTGTGACCCAGTTATTAAGTGCAAATGTAATGAGATGCTTTCTCATGTATACTCTTCTACAGGTGAAGGAGCTGAAGGCGGGGAAGCATCAACTTCTGATGCCACAATGGAAAATCAAGAAACAGACGGAAAGAGTGTGGAATCCTAATATCTGTGAATTTTTTGCTTTGTGGTGATCACCAACAGATTTCACTCCCAGTGTCCGGTCTGCAAGATTCTAAAACTCAGAATTCTTGTCGCTGAGTGTCATGACTAAGGGGCTACTGAAGGGTTTTAATGATGCTGCCTAGTCTATCAAACAACCTGCTATCTGTGTTCAAGTTGCAGCCAACATTTGTTGGATACATGTAAAAGGTCCCCCCCCCAATCTTGTAAAAAAAAATCAGCTTCACTGTATCTTTCTGGACAATGTAAATAATCAAATACAATAAGAATCCAGTTGTTTGATTACCTCTTGGGGCCTTTTCAGGTTATAATTGTAAAAAACCCTGAGGGCTTTCTCCCCCTCTTCCACAACATTGTTAGCTCTTATTCAGAACCAGTGGTGCAGTTAAAGTTACATAAGGTATGCAGGATTCAGCTTGCTGTAGTCAGGTAATTTCATTGTGGTTATAGGGAAACATACAGGAGAAAAAGGATATGTGAGCACAATGACCTGAAAAGACGTATGTGTTTGTCAGGGGATAGGTTACAACATAGGAGGACGTTGATGCAGAAGAGATCAAAAGACAGCCTTGCTCATATTCATCATCACTTCTTTTGCTAAGACTACGATCAGCCCTACCATCAGGCATAGTAAAACAGATGCCTGATAGATGCTTGGTGTGGAGTGGGCACCATTAGACAATCCCTCACATTCCCTTCTGTCGGAGAACTGATATGTGGTCTACATAAACTAGCCTGCTCCCCTCAGGTGGGGAGGATAAACCAGCCCCATCCTCAGTGCTGAAGTGAGATTCACTGGCCAATTGAATTACATTATTTGTAATGCAGGGAGTGTCATGTTATCTTTCTTCTCAGGCAGCAGAATGTCTTGAGAAGGCCCTCAGTCAAGAAGTCAGTGAGAACTCCATACACCACTTCTGGAGGACAGTAAGCAGGGGCACTCAGTTTGAACAGCATCACAGATAGATAGCTGCCTTTAACTAAAGCAAAATATTTGCCCATCTGACCCGATATTGTCTTGGGGGCTCAGTTATGGGTCTTTAATGAACAAGTCCTACAATATCTTCATAAAAAGTTTCAGGCTTAAGAATATTAGGCCCTCATGGGCACAATCGAGTAGGTTGCCATGATCTTCCTTTAACCTCACATTCCACACAGTGATCACAACAACAACAGACTGGTGGGAGTCATGCATTTTTCCAGCAAGGGAATATTGAAGACTGAATGTTGGGAATATGTGGCATCCTACAACAGAGTTCTCTGGATTCACAGTTGTATTATCTGATTATCTGGAGAGGCTTTCCTTTATTGATTTTAAAGTTCTGTTTTCTGCTCCCCATCCCTTGGACATCAAATTTCAAATTCTGTAGAATTGGTGGTGAATACAGCTCAGAATCATGTTTGACCATTAAAAGAAATGGAATGTCATCTGTCTATAACGTCATCATGCCCTGACTGAAGCTTGGACTCTACCTAGAGAGGCACTAGTATGAAGAAGGAAATGAAAAAATGCACTTTCCTTGCTCATTCAGAATATCATGATGATTTCAGATTGCCTCAGTTTTAGGATCCCTTTTGAGTTTATTCTGTACTCTCCTCTCTCAAATCTGACTTTTTCACTAATCTCAGCACTCTTGTATCTACAAGTTTCCAAAGTAAACTCCTGGCATTTGTTTATGATTTTAAATGCTTTAGTTCAGCATGAAAAAATGGCGTTAGTTATAATCTCTTTGGGGTTTTTTTTGTCTGTATTCACTTGTGTTTTCAGAAGGCCAGGGACACATGGTTTTCATTTGACTTAGAGTATGGGGTTATTGCCTCATAACTGATCTTGTTTAAATCATTATTGTTAAAGCATTTTCTTTCTGACATATTTTGCCTGTACCAAAGGACTGATCCATGTTTTATAATAAAGAATGTATTATTTAAAATATACTGACTCTATTTCTACAACAGTTCTGTGGTCCTACTGTAGAAGCCCTTGCATAAAGCACAGTCAGCTGAATCCAGACTGAAGTAAAGCCTGTTGAAGGCCACGGGAATTAAGTTAGCCATTACTCTGTGTCAAATGTCCTAAAGGAAGTTTGTTTATTATGTGGAACCAAGGTTTGGAAAGTTACATTTTAGAAGTATTTTGTTCCTGTTGCTCTTTTTAGTATTTTTAAAGTAGTTTATAGCTGTTACTGTTGCAGTGTTGAAAAAAATAACTTCTTGTTTGCAGCTCTTTAAACTTCTTGTTGCTTTCTCATTACTTTCTTGAAAAAAAGCCTTTGGATAAGAATAATTTTAGTTATCTTCAAAAGCAGCTGGAAGACATTCCTTGTTACATTGGTAGTGTATTTTCTTCATCATGGTCCCCGTGCATTACACATGGGTTAGTCCTGCACATACACAGACATCTCAGAATCTTCCAGAACTAAAGGAAAAATGCCTTGTCCTCCCACTTGGTAGGTTAAATACATGGGCTTCCACTTCATCCTCAGCTCCTCTCCATCCACTGCATGGTGAGCATCTTCAGAATGGTTCTTCCCGTATTGCAATTTTCCTTTCCAACTTTTACTTCTGTGATTTTGGCCTCCTTCAAGACTTTGTTTTTGGATTGTTCCTTGACTGTACTGTGCTTCATTCTACATTTCTCTTGCCTCTTAAGAACCTCAGCTTCATGTCTTGACACTGCACCTATTCACGTCTTGACACTGCAGCAAAGGCCTTCTTCAAGAAAGGTCTCCCATACCAACAGGCGCTCCAAATGTGTATTCTGCCTTGGTGAATGCTGCATTGTGGAGAAATGCCGCCACTGACAGAACCTTTCAAAACCAGCAGTTATGCTTCTGGGGTTCCTCTTGGGAAATAATCCTACCAGCTTCAGAGCAGGCTGCACAGCACCAGATGCCACAGTCTCCTGTGGATTCCGAACACCCATCTGTCAATGGTTTAGATATGCACCCACTTCCTGGCACCACAGCTGTCCACCTCAATTGTCTTATACCTGCTGGCAATATCGGAACCAATGCCATCTACTTGCACTGGGCACAAGCACCCCCAATCTCATTTGCTAAGCCACAAAAAAGCAGGAAAGGGAGAAGCAAGCAACATCAAAGTCTCCATTACAATCCACCATAGTCCTGCAATCAGCACTAGGCAAGATACCAGCTCAACCTTCTGCCTTGCCTCCACCACCTCTTCTCGCAAGGACCCTCAATGCCAACACCTTACCAATGCCCAGATTTCCAGCTCCTACTCCAAAAGGGAACTTATAATATCCTTCATCATGTTTTGGGCTTGAGATGAGTCACATCTGCTTAGGTCTCAGGACTCTCTATCTCCTCAACACCTTCAGTCCCATTCAGTCTCTCACCACTACTCCTTAAGGCTTTCTGAGGAATACATTTCTCTACATCTGGCAAGGTCTGCTCTGCTACACCTCCTCACCCATTCCTCTGATTATCAGGGTGATCACCAAGCTGCAAGGTGACTATGCGACTCTGGTTTTCTCTCCTTCTCAATCTCTCCCATCATCATCTGTGGGGAAAACCCTGCTCAAGGTCTTTAGCTGCATTCCCATTTCAGTGACAGCAAACTCTCCTGGCAGAGAGCAAGGGCTCCTGACAGGTAGGGTGACCTCTCATTCTGCCTTTTCCCTTAGAGGCTAAGTTAATAAAAGAGTTCCCAAGGCATTGCCTTTAGGCTCTGCTGGTTCAGATATCTGCTTGTCAACTTCTTTGCAACAAAACCCTGCTCAAGGTCATTAGCTGCATTCCTATTTCAGTGACAGCAAACTCTCCTGGCAGAGAGCAAGGGCTCCTGACAGGTAGGGTGACCTCTCATTCTGCCTTTTCCCTTAGAGGCTAAGTTAATAAAAGAGTTCTCGAGGCATTGCCTTTAGGCTCTGCTGGTTCAGATATCTGCTTGTCAACTTCTTTGCAACTTCAACTTCTTTGCCACTTCTCTAAAGGCTAATTGCCTTCCTATTGTCTGTGATCACCCATATCATTAGTTTTCCTTTTGTTCCGTGATCACCTACAATCATCATCATCACTATCTCTGCCAGATCCCCAACCCCCTAATGCAGACCCAGAGCTCCCTTTGCCATCACGATCTTCCTACCCTTCACCTCATGCATCACCCTTCCACATTGTTCCCACCTGAAATAGCCACCATCCTGCAAATCCCTGGCAACCCATCCAGATGGCCATCTTACCACATTAAGTGGTGGGACTTCCTCTCCTTTGTCACTCTGAAATCAATACATCTACAGTCCATGACAATTGCCACTAACCTCTCCTACCAAACTCATCTTGGGTTGTTTTGGCAAATTCCACAGAATCCCACTATTTGCTCTGACACAAGTGTTCGTGCATGCCAAAACATCTTTTTTTTAAAAAAGCATGGTACCACAGAATCCCACTATTTGCTCTGACACAGGTGTTCGTGCATGCCAAAACATCTTTTAAAAAAAGCATGATCAGAATCAATTTAAAATAGACAACCCAACTTGTCTTCTGCCCCCCCAATGCACACTTAGCTGTACATTGTGTAGTTAGATATTTTAAAATCAATAGTAAACGTAGCACACACACAAAAGGAGTACTGTATTACGACATGTCATTGAGCCCTCAGTTTATGGCTATCTTAAATGTGTGGAAAGGAGTTTCAAATGATGGTCACATTATCTGAACAAATTGTATGTGCATTTGTTTTGGGAGGTAGGATGGCTATTCAAGTTGTTTCCTCAGATATACTGTATGTCCTACTAAGTTAAATAGGTGGTAAATGTTAGCAAACATACATAGGAGATTAATATATTTTTATTTATTAAGATGCTGATATTAACAAAAGCTGATTCCTTATCAATATGTCCCAGAATCCCTTAGTCAACAGGTCAGTGATATGAACTCATTCCCTACTATAATATATCCCAGAAAGCAAGATAATTTATTGGCACTTACTTTGAGGCATATGGATATACAGTATAGATAGAGATAGAGATACATATACATATACAGGGGAATCATTCAAGTGGATTTCACAGTTTTCTGGCCGTCACACATCTAGCCATGCAGCCAAGTACACAACTTGAGTGCATGAGCTAGGTGGGCATCTAACAAGCAGTCAGAACAACCACACACACTGGTTATACAATTTCCAATTTCTATTATACGACTACAGTTGG